AGGTGTATTGTACAAATTCAAACACAATGTAATAATTGTTCATGAATAATTAAATGAAATGAAATGAAATGAAATCGGCCCTGTACTTTTTGAGCTTATTCATTACAAACATACAAAAATAGGTACAAATCTTTCCTCTTTATAATATTAGTATAGATATAACAGTTTGAAAAAAAAAACATACAGATTTCCTCGTTAAATAGTTTGTTGAGCCTAGTCATGTATTGAATCCCGGATATAGTATTACAGGTGTGCTTAGAATTGATAGTTAACGGTCAGAGTATGGAACCCCTGCACCCATTGCATTACACGGGTCTCATAGATAATTGACCCCTTCGCGGAATATGACGTTGTGCATTTATTGTAACATCGCATTTCCTTGTTAGTAGACGTGGCGAGTACTCGTCTATTATCGCGCGATATATGTTTTAGGTATTTAATTTCATTTTAATATTTGGAGTGTAGAGTTAATATGATATGTGTGTGTGTTATAAGTTGCATGCTTTATTTGTTAAGCAAAACATGATGATCTATTGTAACTATTAACACCTTTGTATACCGTGTTTTACGCAAATAAATATCTATATATTTATCTAAAAAAATGCCGCTAGTATTTCTAGAATTCGCTCTTTATATTAGTTTTATTTGTTGGCCCGTAATAATACATAATATAAATATTAATATGACCATTTTTGGTTTGTAGGTAACGTTTGATCAAGAAAATTAAATACAATATGACAAATGATTGAGACATAAATGAAAATCTTGCATTTTGCTGAAATGCCATAAACTTTAATAGGAGTTCTTACGCAATAAAGAGTTCGACTTCTTGACATAAATAAGAAGAGTATAATTATTGTTTTTGGCTTACTAATGTAACTGTCTAGTTGCTGTTTGTTTGCCGAAAAGTAATAATTAATTTAATATATCTCATGAAAGTTTTAATATAAAAAGGGCTCATTAATTATATGAAAAGAACCATTTCGTAATTAATATAATTTTCTAAATTCTCACTAGAATAACTGAGTTTCAACAAACAAACTTGCAAGGCTTCGCTTGCGTTTGAGAAAGTTTCGCATTGGACCCGTACTGCGCAAAATTGTTTAATTATTCAAAATAATTACTTTATAAGGAAACTTGAAGCTATTGACACTAAACTAAGACCTGACCTGTCTCAAGCAAACGACAATGTATTCTACACTTATCAATATAACTTAACTGTTTATTTTTACTGCCTCGTGGGCCGAGTGGTCGCACGTGCGGCTGCCGGGCAAGGGGTATCGGGTTTGATTCCCGGGTCGGGCAAAGTATTACTGGGTTTGTAAAAAAATTGTCGGTAGTAGCACGGAGTCGGGAACTGTGCCCGATATATGGCAATAGGCTAACCCCCTATTACATGGGACTCATAACATAAATAGTGAAAATGGGTGTTACATTGTACAATGGCATAATGTGCACCGCTGCCTACCTCTTCGAGGATAAAAGGCCTGATGTCTTTATTTTTATACGACTATTGGGATATTTTTATGTGTCAGTGATCGCACGGAGCCTGGAATTGTGTTCAATACTGGCTTTAGATTTACCTTCCATTATATGAGATATAGTTTGACAACGGTCTTTAAGGGTGTGCCCAAAGTATTATGACGATGGTAGTCAATTATCACAGTCGCTTTGAACATTATAAGATATTTTAAGCAACATAAATCTTTATCTTTCTATTTAAATTATATGTCTGTCTCTGTCTCTTTGGGGATTACAAGACACGATACTATATTATGTTTATGTAAAACTTTTGTAATATATCTTTAATTCTGGTGCGTAAAACTGTATGAAATCATTCACTCTTCATGTTGCGTAGCAGTGCGTAGCGCGCTCAGGGTCACGTAGCTGCGTAGCTGCGTAGCACTATACAACCAGTCGAGTATACACTGGCGTAGCAACCCGTAGGCTGCGTAGGCCACTTACCTCGATAATTATTTGAATGGCTACGACTTATTTTGATTTGTGTAGAATTTAGTTGTGTTTGTATTAGAGATTTAGGAATAATATTTTCAATTGGGAAATGAAAATTTAATGAATATACTATTGAATTATTAAATTCCAATTGAAATTATTTGGAATAAGCATACGAATTATGACATATCTTTACATACACATCACAACCAGATCCGAAACAACAACTTGTGGATCACAAAGTGTGGTTCCGTGCGGGAATCGAACCCGCAACACGTTGCACGGCAACTGGTTGGCCACACAGTTGGCCACACAGTTGGCCACCAACTGTGCAGTCAATCCATAATCTACATCAGGGCTGATGCCGACATGTAGCCGCGGAAAACTGAACGGGTTGCCGGGGCTCCGGCTCGAAGTACAGGAGTAGGAACGGAGTGGTTTTTAGTCAGTACCAGTCTGACACTCCCTCTTTTCCTCCCTCAAAAAAAGACCATAATCGAATACTGTTAGAAATTTCATCTATCCCTTAAGTCATTTTGACGTGGGTGGGTAACAAATATACACACACACTAACACACAAAATTTTGCATTTATAATATTAGTATATTACTTCAGTGATAATCACCACATACTAAGCACAATTCGGAGTCGCGGAGAACCTAACGGGTAACCGGGGCTCCGGCTCGACGTGCAGGAGAAGGAACGGGGTTGTTTTTAGTCAGTAAGAGTCTGACACTCCCCTCCCAGGCGGGAGCAGTCATTTGTCAGTCAGTCATGACTTTCCCCCCTTAAAAAAAATACTAAGCATCCAATTGTAGACTCCATATTTATATCTAAAAAGCCTATTACCCAATAATAATGACCCGGGAATGAAACCCGAAGCTCATGATCGTCGAATGCACTTACATTCATTTGGGTGACGATGAAATACACTTTTTACAGGTAACAAGACCTTGTAATAGGATCTTGAATAGTAATGTTTTACTACAAATAAATATAATCTTTTAATAAAATAAAATGCACTTGCGAAGTGATAGCGAGCGTTGATATCTTTTAGATAAGCGAAACGTTTGGATGTTGGCAAACAATTTTCAAATGCAACATTGATTCACGTATTTTTTTTTTTATATATTTGATGGGGCGACGTTTGACCACTATCTTGCCTGGTGGTAAGCGATGATGCGATCTACGATGTAGCACGTCGTCCCATAAGCAACCTATTCAACTTACACATAGACATAACATAACATCACGCCTTTATCCCCGCAGGGGTGCACATCATGGCACTTAAAGCCACTGTACAATGTAACATCCACTTTTCACTATTTATATTATGAGTCCCATGTAATACGGGGAGAGTCTATTGCCATTCGAGCAACCACTGAGAATTTTTTCGAATAAATCGAAAATTTAATCGAACCCGATACCCCTTGCCCAGCAGTCACACTTGCGACCACTCAGCCAACGAGGCAGTCAGACATACATAGACTATTAATGTAACTAAGGAATAATGAAACAATCATATATACAGAAAAAATTTCATTGCTAACAAGCAATAACAATAAATAATTAAATGAAACAATTTAAAGATCTCTTTTCACATTTAGCAACTGGAAAATCAAAATTCAAAACTTTGGCTGTTCAGTTTTTATTCCACATTATTTGGCTCCATTGAACGAGTAATCGCAAACGGGAATGCAATAATGCAAATTAAGGAATTGGGGTTTGACTTCCAAAATTTGGAATAAGCTGGGAATCATTCTACTGTAAGAGGAGAATAATTTGTTATACGTATATCTAGTCCTCTGCCTACCTCTTTGAAGAAAAAAGGCGTGATGTTTTATCTATGATACTACAAATCACGTTTTGATTGTGTGAATGTAGCTCTTTGTTTTCGGTCAGCCTAGCGGTCGGCCTAGCGAATTAATTTCTTAAAATGATTAAGAATCTAAACTTAAACCGTACCGTTATAGCTATAGAGTTTAGAATTGCGGAATTGGAAAAAGGGGAAGATCAGCTGATTTTTATTGGATAGGGGACTGTCGATCGATGCTTGTTTTTGTGACGTAGGTGTAAATAGATACGAGTGAGGGGTGATTTCCCAACACTTTCTGTTTAGGAACGCGTTCCTTATTTTGTCTTTGTTTTAGTTTCTTTTTAATATTTGATATGGGCTCCACAGGTGTGTAATTATTATACCTGTGGTTATGATGCGAGTGGGGGTTATTTTGGCAGAGTATTGTACAGCGTCCAGTTCGAAGTTAGTATGTAGCCGGCCGCGCGCCGGTTGGCGGGAAACAGAATACGGCGTGCGTGGTGTCGGTTTCTTGGCAACTCCGCGCCGGTTTTGATTCGTCTTTTAGCCGGTTCTATGAACTTTCTATGGATTTTTATTTCTGATTATTCTTTTTTATATTATTGTGTAATATAATATTAAATACATGTACACATATTGTTATTGTTTGGGATGTAAATAAAATAATTATAAAATAATAATTAAATATATTCAAATTATTTTATTAATATTTTTAGGATTATTTTAATTTTAACACTTGAAGATTTTTTATATTTTTTTGTTTTATAAATATTTATTAGCTGCGTGTTATTTTGATAAAATTTTGTCTTTTTTTTGTTTATAGTAAAAATTTCGCTGGATAATTTAGTTGGTGGTTCCACAGGTCGCAATAAATTGGTTGTATTTTATTGGAGGAGGTTGTGATGGAAGTTAGAGTTGTTTTTATTATTAAAGCGTGCGCTGTCCTGCGCAGTTCCGCGGCTCGCCAGTGGCGCGGCGCGAGTGCGGTGGGCCGCGCCCTCCGGCTTGCGCTCTCGTGCGTCCTGCCGTGTGGGACTCTGGTTTCTCTGAATTAGGGAAAAGTGTTATGAGGGGGAACTGTATTCGGCAGTTGTCTGCATTAGTAAATACCGCGCCTTAGGCATACTTTGACGATCGATAGGGGGAGGGATATAACCGCGCGTGCGTCCCGCGGTCACCCACCCGCGTGTCTACTCAGAACCGTCGCCGTTGTCGCACGCCCGCGACCTGTGGAACGCACTCATTTGAACTTGTTGCGAACGCCACCTGTTAACTCATGGGGGCACCGTGAAACTCAGGTAAGTTCATCAAGAACACTTTCCAATACATGCAAGTTGAAACGGCAAAAAAAACGGCATTTACCGGAAGTTTGGGAAACTAGCTCACGCAAACAAAAGTTTGACAGTCGCGCGCACTCGCGACTGGCGCAAACAATCCGGAATATTTTGTATTCCAGCGAAGCGCTGACGGAATGTTGTTTCAGTGGAATATTGGAACAACTCAGCGTTTTATAGTGAAGCCGAAAACAATAAAACAAAAGGTAACAAATAAAGTAAACAGAAAACTTTATAAAAAACACAATAACAGGAAACTTGGTCGCTTGTTATTTTAATTCGAAACAGTCGAGGCTTATTCCATAATACTGGGGCTTCGTTCAAGGTGCAAGAGGGTTGTCAACATAACCTCTTTATTTACGTTTTGCTTCGTTTCTTTTATTTCATTTAAACCGTATTATTTCACAGTGTCTGTTTTGCGAATTGTTTAGCGAATTCTTTGTGATTCTATTGTATTTTGTGTACAACATGCGTTTGCACTCCTTTTACATTTTTTATTGTCTGTTGAACCAAATTTACTAACGTATGGAACAGAATTACTTAACATATGACTAGAAGTATTTTGACTGTAGTTTCATACAAAACAATTGTTATTATCGACAAATATCACATTAAATTGGGTGTTTAAGATGTGAGTACCCAAAGCTAGAGCCAGCTTGCGCTTTTTTGTAGTTATAAGTTTGCGTAGAAAGTAACATTTCAAATTTCGTTTTATTTTACTAGGTATTCTAAGTAGATATTGCACACATAGCTTCAGTGAAAACCTTAACTACATTTCAAATTAATTTACACAATAATGAGAATACTCGTTTATGATAAAAGCACAGAACAATCGGATCAAAAATTAAATATGTAGGAATTATTCAAAAGAAATTAATACCGATGACGGACTCTCGATGTAAAATAATGTTATTATTATAATGCGTTCAATCGCGACGGTTTGAGGGTTCATACAAAATATAATGTGTTAATGGGATCAATTTGAACAGCGTAAAATAATATAAAAGTGGTTGACGTATCCACACTTTGATAAATCGAATGTTTGGCGTGTTAAAGGTTTATCGCCAAATAATTTTGTAAAACAAAATGATTTCACAATTAAGTATATCATGTTTAATGTTTTATCTTTTATTGGATTTCGTTTTGCTTTTAATTATATAACCAGCGCTTACTGTTTTATTTTAAAATTAATTCTGATCGGATATTTTATAATGTGTAAATTATAATTATTTGTTTTAATTACTTATTATTATTAAAGTTTAGTAGCCTGTCGTATCATAGTTCAAAATATGAAATAAAAATTCAACTTTTTCTTAAAGAAAATTACAATTGAATATGAATTGAAAAACGGCACAATAATCAAGAACAAATAAGGTAAACATTCAGAATTGTATATCTTTGATTTTAATTAGATCTACTTTCTGAGAATATATGGTCTACAGCTAAACAGCTAGGAAAATCCATACACAAAACGTCTACATATTGGAAAGTAATATACAGGGCAGTGGCAATGCCATATTAAGGGGAAGTACTTTGTCTAAAGAAAGGAAGAATAACAGTTTTTTAGCATCGTCACATAAATGAACCAAAAAAAAAACAAGAAAAATAGTTTAAAAAATACAGAACAATGTACACAGTGCAAAAAGGCCAGTACTCAACTAAAATTCCGTGACCCGAGCGCGATAAGAACATTTAATTTTCAAAAACATTTCATAACAGAATTTTTCAATTTTACTGTTTGTTTGAACCGGGTAACAAATCCGTTACATTAGCAAAGGAACTCAGTAAAATTGTCCACCTACAGTATCTAAGGTACTAGTACAGTACTTTCCTTCGATTGAGGCTGTCGCGGGACAGGCATCATATAATGATCTTGGCAGTGGAGGCAGCAGCATCTGTTCAGTTGCACTTCTCAGATAGGTCAGAAGAGACCCAGTTTACTAGTCTTTCATATATCAGAAAGAGAGAAAATATACACAAAATATCTCTGTTCTCTCTAATTAAAGGATGGTCGGACTTGTGTCCTTCTTCTTCCTTCCTAAACTGTCAAACACCAAGCGGTCACCGGTGACCGCAACCTATTGTTCTATAATTGTGTCTACAAAACCGGTACTCGACGAGTTAATCTGGTAATTTAAAACCTGAGATGAACTAACTAACAATTTTCCTGGTAGGTCTGAAATAAACAGGGTAGCTAACGATGATATACTCAAACACTACTCAATTATAAATCGCACTTAAATGTAGTTCTGTCGCTACTAATTCTTTGTACAATGACAGGGAAGGCACGATATTTGAGTAAAACTTTTTTTTAAACGTTGACCCTATGGAATACTGAACTGAAACACTAGGATTTTCTCCTGTATCGTGGATGCGTTTACAATACAAGTTCACATACAACACAAAACTTAAAATTGAGATACCTTTCAGTATTCGAGTGTAAGACACTGGGTTAACCAGCATGGTTCATACAAAGTATTAAGGGAATATCTGACAAGAAGTTTAACTGTTTATAACATTTCACTCAGAAAATAGAAACTTCTTTAATATATTGACCGTTATTATGAGAAAAGAGAATTGCAAGAGAACTTTAAAAAGATAAAAGGTTTAATTAAAGTATACGAGGAAATCTAAGAATAGTCGTTATACATAATACCTAAGTAGAGAGCTAAGCACACTGAAGCACAAACACACTAATAAAGACCTCGTGGGGTACAGGACTCCGGCTCAAAGCACGAGTAGGAACGGGGTGGGTTCTTGTAAGTAAGAGTTTGACTCCGTCTTCCTTAACCTAAGGCGAGAGAAAACATTATGGTCATCTGCCAAATATACCTACAATAAATATTATAATACCCACAACATCACATTTACATCAACAGCATAGACTGTTGACTTAGTGGCCACTTGACTAAAATCTTCTTCTCGGACGGAGAAGGTTTGAGCTTCAATCGTCACTTATAATTACAAATCTTAAGCCGAGGTTTTTTCACGATGATTTTCTTTATCAGTATATATATTAATTGGAGATAATTTGGAGTGTCCTAATAATCCTAGAGGGTACATATATTTCACTAAAGTAGCTTTTAAAAGTCCGGTAAAGTACTTACTTGTAACTCCTCTGTTGTTGCGGGTCTAGCGGGGCCTAGGAGAGGTGCTCATCACCTGCCATCAGCTGATCTATCTACCTATTTTTCACATAACCCATGAAAACAAAAAGATAACCAGAGAGATCTGAACTTTCTATTAGAGCTCGCAGTTCTGCTTGTCTTGTCACTTATTATTGAATTTTTCGTACTAATTTTTATGTTCGTCCTTCAACCGAGGATCTAACTCAAGATTGTTTAGTCTTCAATTAAAATATTCAATCACTAGAACTACAAGGCTATTAGATATAGATTATATTAAATCAAACGACTATATCTTGGTTGACTACTGGTATATTTTGACGAATACATTAATATAATAATATTAATTGTAATCTCATATCATAGTTAGCAGATAATAAGCGTAACAGTAAATATATGTACTTAAATAGTTTAATTATTTATATATCATTGTGCTACATATACGATTATTATTTTTATAGTATATAGTTATATTAAAATTTTCTTTAAGTAAATGGCTACAATATAAAATGCACATTTATATAATCTCAGTTGCGTGCTTATAGTGTATAAGATACTGACTACAAAGAATTTAAAAAAGTAATTTTTAAAAATTAGCATATCTAATATAGATACAAAGGTAGTTTTATAAATCAGTACAAAGTACTTGAAAGGCATAGTCTTGAGGTAGTCTTTGTGAAGATCGGACGAATGATTATAATTTTTATTAGTAATAGAATAATACATCATTAACTACAGTAACGTGTTTAGACAGTAAATGCATAACCACAAAATATACGCTTTATGCACGTGTTAAAATGGGATATTGTCATAAAAGTCTAATTAAGCTGAAATGGAAATTTTTATTGTTATCAATTAACCTCAATAATATTTGCGTTTTGATCATAGCATAGTCTTTAATAGTTTCGTTAAGTTTAATATTGAGCTTAGAGAAAAATGCTAAAACATTTATTGTCTTTGTAAAGGAAGTAGGCCTTTAGTTTATATTTTTGTTTCTATTGCTGTATAGTCCAGGTCTTTGTCAAAGACTATGTTCATGCATAAACATTTGTACATTTTGAGGAAAGTCGTCTGAACATAATCGTCATTCCTTACGCTTTTAGAAATACTTACCTCTTTATGAAAAAAGTTAAATGTATTTCAGATTTCTATGATTAGTAATTTTAGCTATTAGTTACCCAGAACTTTAGATCTCAGTGTTTATTCCCGTACAATACTAATGGACCAGTTGTTCGGATACTCGTGCTTCATGCAGTTGACCTGAAACAACCATAAGAAGACATATAAAAGAGTTACAACATGCACGCTTCTCTGTACCTAAAACATAAAATTAAGAAAATCGCAGCGAGGCCAAGACTGTCTATCTTTGTTCTAACAGTTTTTATGATCATGCCGCAAAATATCCTAAATTAGGTAAGAAGATATTGATATAAACGAAGTCCTAAACTAAAACTAATGATTTTAAAATAGGTAGTTCTTTTATAGAAATAGTATTTCTACATTACTAGTAATTTTATTACGTGGAAAAAGTACGATTCGGTCCAGAAAAAATATCACCGAAAAATTGATTAGAATCTTTTTTTCTGATTAGATTTATCTGTCGAATTAGAGACTATTTTCAGTCAGTTTCATATATTAACACTGGGTTACACTTAGACTAACGTTGGAATAGCTTAGTCCTACCTTACTCCTCGTTTATTAAAACCGAATTTGACTATTCTGAGCTTAAAACATGGAGTAAAGTTATTCTTACTCTAATCTATTAATAAGAAGGAGAGTGATTAACATTATTTTTGTAAGTGCCATTACCCGGAAAAAAACTTACTTATAAAATAAAGA